GCACATGATTTGGAGTTGTTTGAACGGCCATCGACTGATTTGAAAGTTGTATCATTCCTTGCATTGAAGTTTGTGGAGATGTAATCTGAACTATCGGACGATTTTGAATTGGTGGACGTGTTTGTGGTTGTTGTATAGATTGAGTATTTTGTGGTATCTGCATTGGAGTTGATCCTTGGACAACCATTTGTGGTGGTTTTACGACAGGAGGTCTTATAGATTGCTGAGGAAGTCTCTGTTGTAACGTTTGTATAACTACTTCAGAATTTGATGGCATTTGTAGACGTGATGGTGGACGTACACGACGCTGTGGCGGGCGTGGAGGTGGAGGCATTGAAGAAGATTCTGCAGCATGTCTTTTCATTACGGCTGCTGTATGGAGATCAAAAATTGATGTAATTTCAATTTTTTTGCCATCATCACTAGTGTATTCAAGTGCAGAAGACTTATTTTCAGAAGCAGGTTGTTTATCAAGAAGTTCTAATAATTGATAAGGTTCTCTCTTATCAACATTATTAATATTAAATAATTCGCTCTGATTTGATTCTTGAGAACATTCCTCTGCTAATTGAACAATTATGTTGGCGTGAAGTTTATTAGATTGTTCAGAATCATCTAGCAATTTGTTGTTCATCATATGTAGGATGACAAATGATTTCACGAACGTTTCATAATCAGCAGTATTTTCAAGTTCACATCTATTTTGTAATAAATAAGTTAATAAATAGAAACTCAACTACAAAAATTAAAATAAAATTATATATACTTGAGGGTCGGTTTACTGTCATCAAGTTTAGGATTATATCTTTGACATAAAGATTTTAGAGGCTGAGTATGCTCGCCACTTTCCAGCAGATCTTTTCCTTTGACCTCATAAAAAATGACTTCATACTTGTCATTATTATCTCGATATATGTATACCAAAGTGAAAAGAAGATGCTTATTCTGATCTGAAATAACAAAAAAAAGATAAATAAATATGATATGAATTTAATATTGTTAAAGGTATCAATACGATACTTACCTATTGGATCAGTATATTCTCTTTGAAATTCTATAGTCCTTATAGGAAATGGTTTAGGAATAGATGTAGTTGCACGTGCTGTTATTAATAACAAAAAGAAAGAAAAATGATTATTTTAAATGTCGGATGAATTATAAAAGTTAAACCGTAATTGATAATATATATTTTCCTTGTTCAGAGAGGGATTCTGATTCAGCTCTATTCTTTCCTTTACCAACTACATGCTGATTATTTTCAGCAATTGCATTCTCACTGCGAAAATATTTTATTTGATTATATGTTGGAGTAAATTCTTTGCCAGTACGCTGATAATTGAATAAAAATAATTGAATAAAAAATATTAAGTTATTTAAGTTATTTACAATATGAACAGTTAAACCAATTAATAAGAAAAAAATTGATAAGCGTACTTCGTCCATCATATACAACATCTTTTCAAGTTTGACACGCTTGGCATCCTCTACTTCAACTTCAAATGAATTAAGCTTTCGTTTTTTCTTCTTTAATTTTCTATGTGTGGGTTTCACATATGTATCATTGGTTGCTTGATCACAACGCAGCGTTGGATTAGGATCCAAATCAAGCTGCGGATGTAGTGCAAGCTTTTAATGAATTGAATTCGATTAAAAGAATTTTAATAATTTATTATAATATCAGAGAAAAAAAGTATAGTGTAAATTTATATATAAAGTTGACCTTACAAGCAATTGTGCTTCTACTTGAATGGCTTGTTCATGTGTCCATAAGCTACATGTCTCTTTGTTTAATCGCAAAATTTCATCCCAAATAGATGCTTGATTTTGTCTCAACTTTGACCTCTTGCCATTGCACTTTGGTTCCTGCCGGTGATCCCGGAATTCGACCACGACGCAGCCTGAAACACAGTCAAAAAAAAAATATATGAAAGATTAGTATATACCATTTAAATTTTAACTATAGAAAGATGTATGTAAATAATAATAGATATTTGCCATCATAAAATTTATACTTGGCTACATTTAACTCCGAAGTCCCATCCTAAACCAATGATAAAAAAAGAAAAAAAAAAAAGAATTCAACAAATTCCTACGAACTATACTTAGATATCAATAAATTTATTATATAGAAATTATATCAACTTTTTTTTTTTTTGAAAAAAACATACTAAATTTTTGAATTCTACACGTTTATCATAAACATGAGCGTAAAGAGAAACTTGCGAATTATCGAGATTTTCCGATAGCTGATTTGACATTTTTCAACTCTTGACTACTACTTAGTCAAATAATAATAATAATAATAATAATAATAAAAATAATAATAATCAAGGTATTTTAGGCAAAATTCTTTTCACCCTGAAAGTTCGACAGAAAAATATTTTTTGAACCATTCGAGATCTATAGGGAACCCTTTTTACGTTTGGAACCATCAGTTCATTATATAAAGTTGACTGTAGCACAAACGGAATCTTTATACTATTGTGTCACGTGAAAGAATATTCTATTATATACGTCGTACCTAAATCTATTCCGGTAAAAATGTATATTACAGTATTACGTAGTAGAGTATACATGAATTAATTGGATAATATCCTGATACATATATATCGATAATTATTCCGGTTTGTTTTTGTAGAGAGTCTTTGCAGCTGTAATATACCATTATTTCTCCGACATATGTACTCGGGGTATTCCCCTAGTTCGTTTTAGTACCCGGGGTACACGTATCTGGCATAGGAGGGATACATTGTACGGATAAGAGTATGTTTTCCCCGGGTACAGGATAGCATGACAGTATCACATTAGATACCCCAAACCGTTGCAGAGTATGGTACACATGTCGGAGAAATACGATTATAATTTTTTTTTTAATTTTTTTTTTTGAATCTCTCTTTTATGTATACACTTTATGTATACACTTTATAGTTCGATCAACTTGATCAACTTTTTAAACATGGCTGATCACTTTGTCATTATGCTCCTTTTGGAAGATTCATTTATATATTTGGCGATATAAACACGTAATAGCAGATAGCAAATATATATTATATATTTATATATAATAATAATTTCGTATTTTACAATAAATAATAATACTATAAAAATTTTTTTAGATGCATAAATGCGTAAATGACGATGTTTCACGAAAAATGCTGATAGAGTAAAAAGATCTATCTTTCGTCATATCAGAGAATGTATAGTTTATTTATTCTAGTTTTAATTCAGTAATTGCAGAGTATCTCGAGTTTTATTTTAAAGGGTCATGTGATAAACTTTGTTACACTAAGTAGGTAATGCAGTATGGTACGTACGTGTAACAAAGCGACAGGTATAAAGGCATGTGTGATCCTGAGAATTTACATTACCGTTTTTTTTTCGTAAATATAAACATCTTCGAGTTGTAATAAGAAAAAAAATGATAGAACTTAACCACGACTGCCTCTGGCAGATCTTCACTAATTTGGAACAAGATAAAAACTCTCTACACGCGGCAGTATTAGTTAACCATACCTGGTGTAAAGTTGCAATTCAATTTTTGTGGAAAAAACCATTTCGTTTCTTGTATACATGTCAGAAAGCATGCAAATGTTTGACTGAAGGTCGACATAAAAAAGCGAAAAACCTTCTTACGACTTTTATTACATGTATTGCACAAAATCAAGCTTCATCTGCCATTAATATGCAAGACTTTGTAATATGGACGAATGCACCGCGCACGGCCTTCGATTATTCACGTTTCTTGCGTCACATTGACCTTCATGATTTGTTTTTAGCACTTATGGATGGTGTTAAATATTTAATATCACATAAACATCTTGATTATGTAATAGCTTTCCAACACATCACAAAATTTCTTGCACCCGACGATAATTGGGAAAGCGCAGTTATTCAGGAAATGGCTCGTGATATCTGCAAGCTCTTGGTATCACATTGTTCTAATTTAAGGTGCTTATCAATTGACATGGCGAATAAACAATGGTCAAAAGAAAATCATCGATGTTCAAGTCTTCCAAACATTTCTTTCTGGATCACAGTCAAAGAAATACCAGAAGAGCTTTTATTGATACCAACATATCCAGGAGCCACTAAAAGCTTATCACAATTAGTAGAATTTTATTGGGGAGCTACACATTGGACATCAGAGTTTTTGATAGCCTTATCAAAGGTTTCTAAAAGACTTCGAACACTTATAATTGACATGTCTAATTTCGGTAGAAATGAGAGTAATGATCATGCACGGAACTTGGGAACTTTAATAAAAGTACAAACAGCTTTACAAGAAATTCAATTCATTAAATGTAAACCACGTGTTTTACCGTCAATTATGCAAGGACTTCGTACACAGGCAAAATCATTGCGTTACTTTCATTTTCAAGGAATGGTAAAAGATTGGAGTGTGTTTTCAGAACTAGTGCATTTAACCAATATTCAAGAATTGAGTTTCGTTAAGGCCAACTTTCGATGTAGTGAGATTGAGATGTTAGCATCATCAAATTTTCCAAATTTGACAAAGCTTGTTTTCGATACTACTAGTTTTCGATTTCCAATTATTATACCTGAAATTATCATACAAAGTTCTGGAAACAAACTTAGGACATTTTCGTTACCAGCATATTTTTATCCATCATATAATGGATTTGTTCCTACAGTTTCATTGTCCGTTGCTAAATATTGCCCAAATCTAGTGCA